GGAGTGAGCAAGGAAAAAGAGGAATAAGAGTGGAGCAATTTGTTGAAAAGTGACAATTTAGGCAATCTCCCCCTGAATCTCTACAGGTGTAGAAAGGTTTAAGTAAAACAAAAAGCAATACTTAATCTCCAGGGAAGATTCTTCCATACATAGATCTTTCAAAGCATGTAGGAAAAAAAATATAAAAAGAGCAAATAGTGCAGATTGTATTAAATGTATTCCCAGATATTATACCCCAAACATAGAGGGCTAAGGAAATAGCATAAGACAGTGTCTTAATTCTAACAAACTTTAGGTAAAGGATTTATTATCACAGATAATTAAAACATGCAATAAAAATACATAGAAGCAAGTTTACAAAAACACATAGCTAGAACTACTAACAAACTGACTCTTACACAAAAGAGTTGTGAGTGAGGCACGGCTTCCGCTGTTACTCACTGCCAGGCTCGTAATCAATAAAGTGCTGGTATGGCTGTCCTCAAGGGATGTGGCTGGAGCCAACGTGCAGGCTTCCCAAAGCTGTAATCCAGCGTGTTTGTGCGAGGTACAGTTTGCCCCCCGGTGCCAACGTCTACGCGTTTCTCCGGATACCCGGCTTCCTCAGGACGTGATGTGTATCTGGGAATACATTGAAGTACAATCTGTATTACTATTTGCTCCTACCCTAACAGCTTGTTAAAATCAAGACACTGTCTTATGGTATTTCCTTAGCCCTCTATGTTTGGGGTATAATATCTGGAAATACATTTCTGCACTATTATTTGCTCTTTTTATGTTTTTTTCCTACATGCTTTGAGAGATCTATGTATGGAAGACTCTTCCCTTGAGATTAAGTATTGCTTTTTGTTTTACTTAAACCTTTCCACACCTGTAGAGATTCAGGGGGAGATTGCCTAAATTGTCACTTTTCAACAAATTGCTCCACTCGTATTCCTCTTTCTCCTAATCTGAATGTGTTGGAGGACTTGCTGTTGCTAGTAACATTTGTCTGTCCTCTATTAACTGCAAAACAGCAAAGTCACGTCACATTGCTTTCTTTGCTATGAGATGGAAAATTGACAAATGGAGTGGTATAATTGCAACCAAACTTTCAGCTTTATGACTACAACATAGCAACAAAAATATCATTTGAAGTGGCTGAGTCGCCTTTTGCATGGAGCAGAACTGAGCTAGTTCGAGTTAGATTGAAGAACATAAATAGAAATACAAAAAATACAGAAAATACAGAAAATACAAAAAAAGAAACCCCCGCGGTCCAAAAGAGGAAAAAAAAAAAAAAGAGATCAAAAGGAAGAATGAGAATTTAAGTCCTAGGTGCTGTCTTGCCTTAAGATGTTAAACTGTTTATAAATGGACGAATGGTCTTACCCCAGAGTTGTGACGAGAGCTCGTCTGTAGGGCTGGCTTTACCCTCAATACTGCCCCAAGGCCAGTTTCCCCAATGCACCCCCCGATATAGATATATATGCATTAATGTGACTATTTTGGGGTTTGATTAAACAGGGAATGTAACTAGGTGGGTGGTTGGAAGATAAGTGGTGGGAGAGGGTGTGTGTGTATAAGTGCATGAATGCTGCTTGTGGTGGTGCGTTTGTATGGGGGAAGCTGCTTGTGAAGTTGCCTGTTTGTGGGGGTGCTGCTGGTGGCGTTGTAGGTTTGTGGGGGATGCTGTTTGTGTGGTTGCATGTGGGGGTGGCTGCTCGATATGTTGCTTTGTAAAGGTAGACTACTTTGGGTGATGCTTGTTTCCGGAGATGCTGTTTGTGGCGATGTGCATGTGGAGGGATGCCGTTTGTGTGGTTGTGTGTTGGTAGGTCTGTTTGCTGTGTAGTAAGTGTGTATGCCTCTAAACAAAGGCTGTGTTTAGATAGCTACTGTAGTGTGTTTTGCTGATCATAGGGGCTTAGGGTTTGTTGGGGGAATAAGGGCAGTGGGCTGTATATGGGGGAAGAAAGGGGCAGTAAGGTGCATTTGGTGTGAATATGGGCTATAGTGTGTGTTTGGGAAGAAAACTAGGGCTGCATTGTGTGTGTGGGGAAATTGGGAAATCGGCTGTGTATATGTGTAGTGTAAGGAGGGAATAAAGGCTTTAGTGTATATATTCAGGGGGTAGGGGCTGTAGTGTGCATTTAAGGTTTATTAGGGGCTGTTGTGTGTTTTGAGGAGGAGAAAGATGCTGTAGTGTATTGGTGATAGTAGTGTTATAGTGGTCATAGTGGGAGTAAAGAGGTCATAGTGGGGGTGATACAGGCTAAGGTGCTGTATTGGGAGAAAAAAAAATAAAAAAATTTTATTAAAAAAAAAAAAACCTAAACTTTAATGTAAAGTGAGATAAAGCAGTCAGTGGTATATAGTATTAGTGGGCTCCAAGTATGATGAAATTGCCCCAGTTAGGACAGTAGTACAGATAGAACACAACGTTAAGAGTGTTCGTGTTTTCTTCGTGTGACAATTCCACATGAATTCTGTATTAATGGTCCTACAGCATTATAGCGGAATGTGTCATTATTACTTTATGCTTAGACCTTGGGGCATGTTTCATGTGATCACTCTCTGGCCAACGCTTCTAGTGCTGGCTGGAGAATAACAGAAAAGGAATGGCTGATATTATCCACTAAGACGTTCATGCCCTGGCAATGAAGACAGCATATTACGGACAGGGGTTGGCTTCTTTGGGTAAGTGACACCAGGCATGGGAAGTCAAATCCCAACTAAAGTCAAATGCAGACAGAACTGGAAGTGGGTCTAACAGTAATGCTACATGCACATTTCTATGGACATGGCAGCAACCATGAACCAATGGTAAGTAGGGATAATAGCTACAAACCTGAATATATTGTTTAACCCTACGATATATTCATGCGTATGGGGGAATTTGATTAAATTAAACCTATATGGTTCATTTTAAGGATGCTGACATTTGAAAATAATAGTTCAGCTAAGGACCCTAGGGCCAAACGTGACTTCAGTTATTAAACTATAAAGATTGTGAACCCAAATATATGAAAGAAATTACACCAGCTGCCATATATTACGCCTTGACACATTGCGTGTCTACTTCTGTCACAGTGGATGAAAGATACAATTTACAATCCACTCTCCCACCATTGAAGTGCGTTAAATCTCTGATCAAAAAGGTGTTTGCGGAAAATAATAAACAGTTTCTCTACCGTAAATTGCAGGGGTAATCATTCCAATATCCAATTTTTTTTTTGTATAGAATTGCTATTGCTGTAGGCTATTCCTTGACTTGCCACTGATGTCCAAGAACAGACCTAGCCAGCTGACCTTCAGCCCAAATGTGGCACTAAATTATTTTTATACAGCTGCCAGGACCTGCCAGAAAAAAAAAAGTTCTATAGTGTGCCAAGGCATTTTAGAAACATAGAATGTGACGGCAGATAAGAACCATTCGGCCCATCTAGTCTGCCCAATTTTCTAAATACTTTCATTAGTCCCTAGCCTTATCTTATAGTTAGGATAGCCTTATGCCTATCCCACGCATGCTTAAACTCCTTTACTGTGTTAACCTCTACCACTTCAGCTGGAAGGCTATTCCATGCATCCACTACCCTCTCAGTAAAGTAATACTTTTCTGATATTTTTAAACCTTTGCCCCTCTAATTTAAGACAATATTCTCTTGTTGTAGTCTCCTCCTTTACTGTGTTGATTCCCTTTATATATTTAAATGTTTCTATCATATCCCAAATGTCTTGTCTTTCCTCCATTTTAAAATATGAGTCTCGTCCCTCTTAAAACAGGCTTAATGTTTCCAGCTAAGTACTCCGGAGATTGACCTAGAATAAGGGTCGGATTCCCGATAAAGCCCTGAAAATAATCCATAAATTTATAGCACATACATTCAAGGTATGGAGTTAGATTCTTTGTTGGAATATAGCTTAGTCACAGCATTGTGCAGCCTTGACACCATATAATGGTTTATCCTCAACGACCTTGTTTACGGTTAATATTTGTAATAAGATTGTTTGTTTTATATTTACAGTTATATCAACACAAAAAACTCTAACACACTAAGGAAAATGCTAGCGCTATATCAATGCCAATAATAATTTTGTTTCTCCGTATCCCTAATAATTTCCTCTTTCTGTATCCAAATTAAATAATGGTGGTATTTGCACAACCAAGTAGGTAATTAAAAGTGTTGTTTTTTTTTTTTAAATCCCAGCAGTTTTTATATTTTATTTCCATTGTGTGTCTGGCTGTCTTGGAACAGCCAGACCATGCCATGCATGCAAATTAATTTAACCCGCATGCTGCTGTATGCGTGGATGACTGCAGGCATATGACAACAATGAAAGGAATGCTTAAGTGTGCGCACAGCAATTCTTTTTAGATGCACGAACACACAACGTCATGGGGACATCGTGAGCTGATGACGCAAAAGTGTTGGAAAGGTAAGTGCGTCTTTCTCCTCACTCTGTGCCACTTAACTCACCACATGCTTTAATCTCTAATGGTTGTCTTCAGGCACACACAAAAAAAGAAAATAATTGTTTGCTTTGGAAAACACTCCCAAATTTTTCCAAAAAAAACAGGGAAAAAAACTGCAAATTAAAAGAAAACATCTGGGACATTTTAGATGTTTTTCATAGGAACTGGAAGACAAGAATTTTATTATAATTTATTTATTTTTTGTAGCTTTCACCCATTACAATATACAGAGGGCAGGGGGTTACTAAGTAAATCAGGAATATATTGTTTGGGGGTAATATGGGCAATTCTTTTGTCAGTTCCCCACAATCTGCAACTTGATGGTTAGAACACACATTGTACGTAGTGTGAAAGGGAATGCCAGTAGACACATTGTGACAGGCAAAGTTGTATCTGCTTTCTAATTGCATTTGGCACGCTTCTATCCCCAACAGAAAGATGCACTCAGGAGAAGGAGCCAATCACAGGCAAGGGTGTGTTAAAGTATTACCATATGGAAAGCAGGGGGAATAATGGCAGGGGTGGGGTTAAAAGATGACAAGTGCATGAACAGTGGAGAACAATGAGACAGAAAAAAGGAGAAAAGGATTGCCAATGACAATGAACCGTTAGAGTAATATTACAAGGAGAGGTATACAGGTAGAGACAGCGACAGAGCTCTGTAAGGAGACAGTGAGGGACATAGGACAATAGCAATTAAAGAATGAGTGAGTTACAGAAATAGGGGTTACAGGAGGGGGGAGCAATGTACATAGTACAGAAAGAGAGAGAGAAACAATATTGGACTGACAGAGAGAGAGAGAGAGAGAGAGAGAAAGGAGGGAGGGTTTGCAGCAATGACAGTGAATGGGATAGACAGACTGCAGCAGTGACTGAGAAGGAGAAACGATAGAGGCTGCAGCAGAGTGAAAGAGAGGGAGGGAGAGAGAGAGAGAAAGGGAGGGAGGGATTGATTGCAGTGGAGGGAGAAGAAAGAGTACAAGAGGAGACAGCGGCAGGATTTGAAGAAGGAGAATGCAGTCATACTTCACCATCATACTACCAGACATTAAGAAGAGCGCGGGCATTCTGTGAGACTGGCAACGAGAGGGGAGATACTGGCACTACGCTGCTATTCGGGAAGAATTGCTGTGCTTGTTTCATTGAAGTAATACTCCTTATGAAGCTTGACAGGTCTGAGGAATAAAGGACTTATTAGGAGAACTACAGACAGTAACAAACCAAGAGAGCGTTCGAGATACTGAATCCTAGAGAATCGTACAACAGCAACAAGAGGAGAAAGCAAATCCTGTGAATAGTACGACTGCTATAGAAAATAACCCGAATAGGAAAGACTCTTTGAAAGAGCACCTCTACCTATTTCATAGTTCGGTCCCTCGTGAGACTACGAAGCCAGTCATTGAAAGAATAACAAGGAGTCAAGTGGAACCTGGGCTACCCCAAACATATCAGAGCATGTGATGTGTACCACTCTCTGAGAGCAAAAGCAGAGGAATACAACATCACAAAATGACATATCTTTTCCAGCATTACATATAGATGTGACACAACAACAAACTGGATAGTCACAGCGTGGCATTACAAGGTGAAATATCAGACATTGTATTGGCATTAGATTTGACACATTGCATCATAAAGTGCCATATCACTGCAGTGACATTAACCAGAGTGACGCCTCGCAAAGATCTTTCTCCGTTGCTGAACTGAGTTGTCAACACTTGTCACCATGACGGAAATAACAGAGATTGACCCACAAAATTCAGAGCACCGGTTACCGGGGACTAGCAACACCGGAGTGTGCCGGCTTCCTGAAAGCAAGGTATCTTCAAAAGCAACAAACATTTATCACCAGGGTTTTTTTTCTTTAAATCCTTTTCTGTGTCATTTTACTATCAACACTGTCAGACTCTTTCTCTTGAGTATCACCAACAAACCCACCCTATTTGATTACCATCAAAACCACTTCTATCCATACATGTTCCATCCGAAACATGACATGTAAACATATCTCATAACCCAAACCAAATCAGTCATAATACTAACCATTACAGGTATCTAATCAATCGATCGATCTATCCATAGACTATTATATCAATAAAATAGAACATGCTCTAATTTTATGTACTGGAATGTGGTTCTGCGCGCATGCAACCGATCTTCTTTATAGATTCAACTTTCTCCTATATTACCAAAACTTTTATTTACAACATATGTAGTACTCCAGTTTTCTCTCATCTTACCAATTTTACTAACCAACCTCCCGACACCCCAATATGCTTTCAAATTACTAATTCACAATTGTTCTCACTATACTGCTTCCTACTTTCAGGTTATAAATTCTCCACCACACCAACATTTTTCCATCATATCAATTCTTCTACCACCAAAACAATATTCTAACTCTTTTTAGGTCACTATTGCTCTACCATTCCAACCATGATACATCATACCAATTTTTCTACCACCCCATAAAACTCCAACCTTCTTTCGGCTTACCAACGCTTTATAATTTTATTCTTTATACATGCAAATTCTCTTGCCACACTGAACAGTCAAACTTCCTTTCATGTTGTCAGCTCTCTATCCATTATTTTATTGTTCATACCAATTCTCTTAGAACCCCAAACAACATTGCAACCTTCTTTCACTGTATCAATTCTCCTACCATATTGGTACCGATCCAGTCTCCCCTTACCTCACCAGTTTTCCTGCCACCCCAGGAACATTCCAGCCATCTTTACATCTTACATCAAACTATATAATAATGTTCTGACTTAACTCCATTGTAAATATTTTTCTGCCTCTTCAGCAATACTATAACATTATCTTAATGTACCAAACACCCCTAGCCCATTTGCACTTAAACTTTCTCTTGTGCAACTAAGCCAACTTTTTTCCTTACGACCAACGACTGATCCACATTTATCCAAACTGCTTTGCAATTTTATTTTCTACCACCTCATTAACATTTTGAGATGTTTCAATGTTTCATCTCACCATTTGTTACACACACTTCAGGACTGGAGTATAACCAGAGAACACTTTCTGAATCATGCAATAAATTGACCTTCAAGGCTGAGTTGGAACAACCATATATCAACATTACATTGTTATATTTATAGCACAGGTATGAAAGGGTCGGAATAGAAGAATGCATGGGGAAGAGTCCATGGAACAACTAAAACAAAAGCCCAAAAAATCAGGTCAAAAATGCAAATCTGACGAGTATTTCACATGCAACATATAATGTGATGAGTCACAAATTTAGGCAGAGGTAAACAACCAATTGGAGATAAGTACAGGAAAGTAACAGACAGTAGTAGAGTAGAAATGTTGATACAAATACTGGAGTAAAAATATGGTTTTATCATAAGGCAAAAATACAAAACAAATGAATTTGTATAAACCTGTAAGATTGCAAAATGGATTGTAAGCACAATAGTAAATATAATATACAATGCTTCTGACGTTTTTTACAGAATAATTTGTTGAAACGGTTAGTCTTCCAGAACAGGAGATCATGGACATTGCATGACACCAACATACCAAGTCTCCACCATGAGTCATTCAACCCATAACCATTTTTCAAGCAACTTTTTCAATGTATGAAATACATTCTACCCCACTCTCCTCAGAATGTGAGTTTGTATGAGCAAGGTTCTCACCGCCTTTTGTTCCTGTATGTCCATCGTCTCTTGTTGAAACTACTAGTGTGTTAGTGCTGTGGAATATGCTAGTGCATTATAAACTAAACTGTAATAGTAACAACTATAGTCCGGCATCTTCAAAAATTAGCAACATACATTCTCATTTCCTGACAAAGAACTATGCAGTTGTAGTCTAGGAACAGCTTTAGATTGAGAAGAACTTCATGAATGGCCATCTGCTGGCTTTCAATATTCCTCTCTGACTGAGATAGGTTCCAAATTAAATCAGGGACATATTTCATGGGAGAACTCTATCTGCACAAAAGATAATGAGAAGTTTTCTGGAATTTGGTAAAAAATTAAAGGAACACTCTAAGCACCAAAACAACTTTAGCTTATTGAAGCAGTTTTGGTGTATAGATCACGCTCCTGCAGTTTCACAGCTCTATGATCCTCCATTTTAAGAGTTAAATCACTTTTGTTTTGGTTTATGCATCCCTAGCCACACCTCCCCTGGATGTGACTGACACAGCCTGCATGAAAAAAATTGTGACAGTACAGTGTGTTTACTTTAAAAGTTTGTATATCCTACTCTATTAATTGAACTTTAAATCACACACAGGTGACTCCTGCAGGCTCTAACAGGCAATTAACAGAGCAGTAGATACATAATTCCAAATTAAACAGAGTGTACAACAAACATTGGATCTCTCTTTACAAAAAATTTGTAGGGAAACTATAGGTCACACGCAGGGAGGTGTGGCTAGGACTGCATGAACAAAGTTATTTATCTCCTAAATGTCAAAGAATGTAGCTGCGAGACTTCAGGGTCATGGTCTATACACCAAAACCACTGTATTAATTTAAAGTTGCTTTGGTGCTTATAGTGTCCCTTTAAATCCTGTGCATACAATATATTATAAAAATTGATAGACTACGTCTAGATCAAAAAATATTTTTGGTTTACTTCTGTGCCTGCCAACAGTGTACTTGTTGCTATTCACCACTGCGCCCACCACCATCATTTTGAGATTTATCAACTGTACACCTTTTTCATACACCTAAAAACACATCTATTTTCAACCATACATTTCTTAGCCATGTATCTTGTTCAAGGAATACGTGGTACTGCATTCATGTACGTTGATTCATGGCAGCCCATTCCTACCCAGTTAAATTTGGTCTTTTCCACTTTATTTAAATGAATCAACAAAGTATTGCCAATTAATCTACTTCAATGAAATCTCATCAGTAACATGTGCATTTCTCCAGCACCCCCTATAACCACAAATCACGTTACCATCACTACCTAACTAATCATGCTAGGTTTAAATCTCTAAATTTGTTAACAACTTTATCCTTATGCATCTAGATTATATGTGTGCTTACCATTCTGTTAAGTACTTGGATGTACTCATTATGGATGTGGACATTATAGTAATGAGTTGAATGTTAAAATGTTGAGACTAGAAACTTTGATTTGATTCTTCTTGCCACACCACTACAATTTTGTTGGGAACGATTCCAAGCACTCAGAGTTGCCATGCCAGGGTTCAATTTATTTGATATAAAAAGGAAACAAAGTATTATCAATTATAGTTAAACCATAGGCATGTATGGTGACTATACAGGAAACCGGATTATGAGCCAATACAAGGCTCAGAGCTCGGTAGTTAGTTGAACCCCTCTCTTACTAGCTTTAAAAAAAGAGAAAAAAAGAAAAGGTGTTGGTTTTGTTAAAACCGGGAAGATGGTTGAGCAGATGGAATTTAAGAATGTCTAATTCAACTCTACTGGTGTTGTTGCCATTTACGAATGAAAGTAGTTGTGTCATGTCAAAATATAAAGGTCATACTACCAGGAAATTCCAAGCACCATAACTGTTCCTATAAATAAAATTTACTTCGAAATAGAGGCCCTACTGACATGCTCTGCTTTCCAAAATGATGATAGCTATGGGTATTGATATGTACATGTTTTTATTCCAAATCTGATAACCTATTCACTAAAAATAAAAATTTAGGCTAGAATAGGTGAATTGAAAACCCAAATCAACAACTTTTTCACCTAAAATAAAAACCTTGCTAAGTCAATTCCTGGTTTTTGAATGAACCTCCTTAAATGAATACTCCAATCAGGGCCGTCTTTAATATCACTAGGACCCTGGGCAAAGCATTTTATTGAGCCCCATGGGCACCCCCCCCACTCCCTGGCATGCAATCACACCTTTCACATACAAACTTACACAGACATAAACACTGACAGACATACTGACACATACACACAGACATACATACTGGCACACAAACATACAATGACACACACATATATACTGACAGACATTCTGACACAGACAGACACAAACACACTGACAGGCATACTGACACACACACCCTGTCAGGCACACTGACACACAGACACATACTGACACACACACACACACACATACCCTGACAGGCATACTGGCATTCAGACACACACTGACAGACATACTGACACACAGACACACACACAAAGACATACACTGAAAGACATACTGACATACCCATTGACAGGCATACTGACACACACACACACACACACACACTGAAACACACAAATGCTGACAGACAACCTACTGACACACACATACAATGTCAGACATACTGAGACACACAGACATACACTGACAGACACACAGATATACTGACACATTCACACTTTTAAATATACTCCCCATTTCCTACCTTGAAGGATTGCTTCCCTGGTGTCCAGAGTGGTGGCTGAGGCTGTTGGGGGTTGCCGACTGGCAATCCGTACCAGTCCTCCTACTCTCTGCTTCCCTGGTGTGGTCACTCCTGCGTGTCTCTCTCTGGGAGGAAGTGACTCACGGCAGTCACTTCCTCCCATGCTCCCAAAAGGCAAAGGGGCCCGGTCGTACTGTTTAAGGGCCACAGCGGGCGACCCGACCCCTGCTTACAAATGCTGCGGAGTGGCCCTTAGTGCATGGGCCACCCGGTGGGCCTCCTTAGGGTGCGTCCCCAGGATCAGGATGCACCAGGGGCCCATGGGTGGGGGGTGGGAGGGAGAAAGTTGTTGAGGGCAGCGGGGCCCACGTGGCAGCTGCCTTGGGCCCCCTAGAAGTAAAAGCTGCCCCGTTTGCCCCGCGTTAAATATGGCCCTGACTCCAATGTATAAAATACATACATACATATACAAATATATATATAAAAAAAAAAAAGCAAAAAGACCCTGCACACAGGCTTAAAAGTTGTAGATAGAAAGTCCTAGATGCAGGACTGAAACGTCTATCTTTTAATGCGTACCCAATAAATATTTTGAGGTTTTAATGGAAGACCGTGAGTGCAGATTTTTCTCCATTCTACTTATATACATATATATATATATATATATATATATATATGTATGTGTGTGTATATATATATATATATATATATACATATACACATATATGTGCCATTGTTATGTTTAGATTCAATGCCCTTTTTAAAAAAAAAAAAAAAAAAAACACAAACAACTCACCTGGAACAGTCTCTTTGTAGCCAGTTTGCCTTTTGTGAGATAATCAGGATTGAAGATCTGTCTCCAATCCAGTGCATCCCACTGAGAAGAATTGACGTGAAAAAATTGCCGTGACCAGCCAATCAAATGCTTCTCACAGAGAAGCAATGAATCTAGTGCTTTTTGATAATAAGAAGCATTATTGTTGTGCGTGATGATGCGGAGTGTGAAGATATCCAAAAAGTGTGCTCTCGGACAAAAATAAACCTTACTGTTTCTCACAACAGGCAATCTTTTGCATTGTTCAAGAAAATGGACAGTATATATACAACAAAATTGTGCAGTAGTTTAGTGGTTTGGTGCTTAGAGTGTCCCTTTGAAGGGTGTGGATGTGCAGTGTTTCTGCTTGAATTTTTAATTGTGTGCCAATGGCTAGTTACACTCCCGGCACATGTGACTTAGGCAGCCTAAGTCTGTTCCAGACTACCTAATGTCAATTTTGTGCATGTTTAACATCTGTCGTCAGTGCACACCGCACGCTGGCGACAGTTGTTCATTGCTCTTCCCTTGCAGTCAGAGACTGCAAGAGGGGTCTTGTTTCTCCTATCCGATTCACATATTTTTTGCTGCAACCCTTCCTCCTCCCTTTCCTGGCTCAGAGAGCGTGCATGCGCTCTGAGACGGTTAAATGCTCCAATCAAAAACTTCACAATGATTTCAAAAGTCGGGGTGCCGAGCAGTGACTGTGGCTTCTCCTGATGCTGGATTAGGGTAACTAAAATCTTGTTTCAAAAGTTTTTTTGACCTTTTTGGGGGGGACCTAAAGTAGTGTGCCAAGAAATTAAAAGAAAAAAAGGGGGGGTTGGATTAATCCTTTTAACATATGTGCAGCTGCTTCTATTTACATTTTATGAGTTTTCAGAATGAGGGTGACATCGATGGGAACATTCCATCTGTATTTTCAGTATTTTATTTTTATGGCACATATAACAAGACCACAGACTTTGATACGCTAAGTAAAAGAAATTATATGGCTTAATTTGATAGACAGAAATAAAATGATACAGTCGGTATTACTTTTTAAACTAGATTATATGGTTTCTATACCAAATAAATAGCTTTATATAAAAAAACAAAAACAATTTCTTTACCATATTTAAAAAAAAACAAAGCACAAAATCTCATAGTCTTTTTCTAAATCGATCTTTGTATTTAACCTTGTCAGGTTGACTACTTAGAACTGTATAACATACATCTGATGAATCACAGTAATGATCTTACAGGAAGTGCTGTGATTAATTCTCTTAATAACAGCTTCTTAAATATTCTATAGAATACAGGCCAGCCTCTATTCTGTCCAGATACTTAACATTAGACATTAATAGAAGGCCTAGAATAAATGGGTGATATGGTAATCTTATGAAATTTTTGGAATGTTAACACAAGCAGAACATACAGCATTTATCTTGACATTCCCTGGTAGGACGATGGTTCATATGCCACGGAACACAAAGGGTCCAAAGGAGAGGAGAAATTGCTAACGATTAATCAGATCACGTCACCTGTGATAAATGACTATCCGTGTTTAAAAACTATGTGTGGTTGCTGACAGTGCAGTCAGCAAAGCGTTGGTGGGAGGGAGAGTGGATCAGCGCCAGATGGGGTCAGGAATGAGAACTGAAGCCAGAACAAAATAGGATAAATTTATCTATAGCAAAGGTAGATGGCGCAGCCAATTTATGTTATGCCAAGCAGCAGTGGAGACTATTTCGAGATTGGTCCTGTGTTGATATACACCTAGGATCTCTAATTGTGGTAAGAAGAGAGGCTGTGACAAATAGCTGGATTCTGGAAAGGGAGAGTGGTGAAAGGCTCAAACTAGCAACCTTGGGAGTGAGTAACTGCAGAGATTTCAAATTGATGGATTTGTGTGTGCGGTTGTACAATTTAGTAGATGTGTTTGACACAGGGGTTAATTGAGATCCTGTAGGAGACAGAAAGCATGTTTGTGCTTTATTTTTATTTTTTTGGAAGCAATATGAACAACAGCCTTAAAGGGATACTATAGGCACCCAGATCACTTCATCTCAGTGAAGTGGTCTGCGTACCGTGTACCCTTCGTTTTAACTCTGCAAGTGAAAATACTGCTGTTCTACAGGGTTTAGATGCCTATAGTGTCTGTCACTATGACAGCCATTACAGGCGCATTTGCAGAAATTGCCGAGTAAAACTCTGCCATTTCTATGAGATGGTCTCATAGAGAGACAGAGAGGCTACCATCCCTGTGTGCTTATCTCTGAGAAAACATTGGATTGGCTGAACTCATCGATCTCTACGATCTCAGCCAAGGAGGCAGGGCCAGCCGCGAATAGAGCCACACGGTGTGGGAGAAAAGGTAAGTTAACTTAAAGTGACACTATAGACCTCAAATCAACTTTAGCTTAATGACGCAGTTTTGGTGTATAGATCATGCCCCTGCAGTCTCACTGCTCAATTATCTGCCATTTAGGAGTCAAATTACTTTTGTTCCTGTCCACACAGCCCTAGCCACACTTCCCCTGGCTGTGCCTCACACAGCCTGCATAAAATGGTTATTTTTCTCATTTTCATTCAGATGTTAACTTGCTTTACAAAAGTTTTCACACAAGGCTCCTGCGGGATCTACAAGGCTGTTAACAGAGCAGGAGATAAGAAATTTCAAAAACAGACTAGACAGATTGTGCTATCGAAGTTTAAACATTAAATCTCTCTTATTTGAAGTGGTTAGGAAGGCTGTGCAAGTCACACACAAGAAGGTGTGACTAGGGCTATGTAAACAAAGTGTTTTAGCTCCTAAATGGCAGAGAATTGAACTGTGAGACTACAGGGACATGATCTGTTCATCAAAACGGTTTCATGAAGCTAAAGTTGTTTTGGTGCCCAAGTTAAATATTTAGAAAGTTATATCATAACCTTGTTCAGATATGGCTAAATCAGGGAAAATATCGCAAACTAAGAGGAGAAATAGAAACATTGTTTACATTCTCCTCTTCTCTATATGCTTTCCCTATGCCAGGTGCAAAGGACAGAGCTTTTAACAATGACTGACAGGGAACTAAGATGGATGCGCCCAGTTGCAGGATAAATAGGTGTGTATTTCTGCTTTTAATTTTAATTTTGAAATCTAAAAAGATATATATGTTAGATACAGGGATAAGTAAACATAATATTAAAAAGCCTGGGACATGACAGTTTCCCTTTAAATCCACATGGCTTCTAGATCACATTTATTATTGAACCACTAAACAGTGAGCTGTAGTGAGTTGATACCAGGTTTGTAAAATTTACCATTTATGATTTTTATCTAGAAAAATCACATGTATACCACCTCAGCACCTGTGTGTTGGTGCGTCACAGCTGCGCAATGCTCTGCTAAGGCTATGTCATAGTAATTACAGGGTATGTGCGGAGACCAATGTGAACATGCTTATTAATGCACACTGTGACATGTAATTATATGGAGGAAGCCCACGCTCTGTCATGCACAAAACCACCCTTCCAGAGCTGGAAAAGGTAGAAAGGCACATAAATCCTGCAAAATGCACCGGGCTACATCACCCAGTGCCACTTTCCCAATGAGACAGAGAGTGATGTGAGTTGCAGTATAGCAGCCGCTAAGGTTCTGCAAATTGTCGCAATACACATAGCCAAATAAAGTGTGTCTGTTGTCTTGCTAGCCTCTCTCCCTCTTCTTTTTTCCGTAGTTATGTTTAATACCTCTCATACGGCACTAAATTAAACAAAGCTCAAGTTTAATGATGGACAAAAGAAAAATTCACTATCACAAGGAATTTTTTTATATATATATATATTTTTTATTTTTTATTTTTTTTCTTAATCACACTCAACATATAAATCACCTTGCAATGTTCCCTCGGTGCCCACATAGTAGCCTGATCAGCTTTCCATACCAGGAGATGGATGACGGCTTAGCCTGAGGTCACACTTGGCACACTCCCAATGTCTCCACAGCTAGAATCACTTACAGGATGCGTGGATGTTGTAAGGCGAGCGTTTTTTTTTTTACCTCCTTTTTTTCTTGACAATGAATTCTCTTTAGTTATGTTGTCATTCCTGTTTAATTCAGCACGTATTCTATATAAGCTTAAATAGAATTTTCAAGAACGTAGACTGTGGACAAAACTCTTATAGATCACTCTTTAATTAACCCCAATTCAGGCCTACAAATAAATTTGATCTCACAATAGAGACAAAACTTTTATAATGTCATACAATGCAGCATTTGGACCAATCTCCATTTTTATCTTAAATTTTTTTTATAAATCATGCTGACTTTTTGTTTGTATTCGGTCTTCTGTTTGCTCATCTGTCATTTATTTAGTTTTTTCTAGCCCTTCCCAGATAATATGGGTGGTTATAATACCAATTGTTATATAATTGTCTTCTCTAACTTACTCTTCAGCCCCCCTTTAATCTATACCTTGCAAGTTCTTGCAGATCTGCATGCCAATGTCAACAATCTATTGTTTTTAACTTTCTCCTTTACCCCCTGCATTTTCTATATTTTTGTTCTGTATTTTGTCCTTCCCCGGATGTCTCAACTTGTTGTCATTTATCTGCCATGGGCCACGGTCATTTTTTGCAAATCTGTACATATCTCCCACCCCTTGCCACCAATCCCGAGGGCCTGTCACATTACATCTGACAATTGGTTTATTCTGGGCACCCTATGACCCCCTTTGAGGCAGATGGAATCAGTGCCTTACTGTCACACTGAACTTAGGAGAAAGTGCCCTGCTTGCGTTCAATCTCTTTTTCCACAAAACAAGGTCTTCTACCATTGATTTTCTTATTTCATAATTTCCATTGTAATAATGTATCTATATCATCCATTAGTCAAATTTCTTAAATGATCAGTGGCCTCCACCTCCACATTTTCTTAAAGTTTTCCAGTGTATTTCTTCATTTCCTAATTTTTCCTCTTCATTCCTTTTCTATCTCTTTTTTATTATATCCATAGCTCATCACCTATTGCCCAAACACATCTGCTCACTCTCATATACCCTAAACAATCATTCTTTCGCCTAGCTCCAGCGTTTTCGACGTTCTATTTCACTGAAGACCATACTTCGGAGTAAGAGTGTAGAGAACTTCTTTCAACGTCCAAACAGTGAACCAAAGGTGAATGCTGGTGTCCTTCTCAGTCCTCCAGTGCCAGCACCTCCACCATCACCTCCACCTCTACCCACTGATGAATTCCCACCAACTGATCAGTCCCCGCACCACTGTCATAAGCCCTTGTCTCTCTTGCAACCTGTTCGTACTCACAGCTTCCATGACCATGTATTCAAGAAACAGTGTCCCTGCCATCTATGTCATCAGATCATTGTTGGTAAGTGAACGATAACTAAGTTAATATAGACATTTTACTTCCAATATACATGATTGGAATTAATGGTGTGAGGCCTTAGCGCTTTGTGGTTTCAAGCCCAGAATTAAAATGTATCTTGTATTGCTGGAATTTTAGAAGAATATGAATATCAAGTAAATATATATATATATATATATATATATATATATATAATGTATATGTATCAACGTTCTGGATGATCTGACGTGGTAACGATGCAGCAATCAGTAAATCAGAATATTACATCAGATTGTCTTATTTTGTCTGAAAAATTAGCCAATATCAGCCAATATCTCTCTACAATGCAATTATATAGTAAGTCATCCATAAAATGCATTAAGAAATATCTTCAACTGAACATACAGGGAGTAATGAGTGACCATTTGCACACAATTTACATTTAACTCACAAACATCATATAATCATAGGAAATTCATATTTTTATCCTTGCAATGTCTTTCATCACCCATCATTATAAGCATAACCTATGGTTGGTGCAACAACTAGATTTTTGTAGTCAGAACCATCAATATGTTAAGACTGATTGCTGTCACAATGGTTGGATCAATAAAATACTCAAGTACCAAATAGACAGTACAATATAACAACATGAAGTTGTCTCTAAGACAAGTTGGGGTTATTTAGACTTTTACATCAAATTGAGTGTGCATTAAAAGAACATTCCAAGGAACATAGCCACTAAAGTTTACCAAACATTTTAGTAAGGGTTTGACTTCTTACCCTTCCTCTACTGCTGTCTAGTCTAATCCAGAAGTTCACAGAACTAAACTAGGTTTGGTGGTGTAGGGCTGAGCTCATTGGCTGAGTGACTGGCTGATGCCTAGCCAATGAGCTAACAGAGCAAACAGAAGATCCTGGAAAGAGCTTCTGGCTGTCCTAAAGGCTGAGAGGAGGCATTCCGCGGTAGTTGTACGGTTAGTGTAGTGGTGCTTGGAAGGTTCTTTTAAATATTTCGATATAAATCAGTGGTTGTTAACCTTTTCTGAGAGATACCTAAATTAATTAGATACCCTTATCAAGGCAAACTATTATTCAATTGTGAAATGACCTCAGCAACCCATAATTCTACTGTTCCTATAAAACAATATATAAGAACATTTATTATCCAATCTAATCGAATCTCTTTTAGACTCTTGCCACAGAAGGTCACAATTGCTTAGGGGAAGGCAAAGCTGCTACTTAAAAACAAAAACAGAGAGTATGAGAATAAGCAAAAGGTTAGAGTAGCTTAGTAGCTTGCCCTTCAATTAGTCCCTGCTCAGGTCTCAACATTTTTTTTTCTCAAATCTATACCATTTGCACATCCGACTGATTCCATCCAGAGGCAGTCCAAAAGCAAAATGCCAACAAGTCTTCTCTGCACAAGAGATACGGCAACCTCGGATGATCATTTCAGGCGCCTAGTGAGTGAGGTATAATTGATACCCTTCAAGGCACAGTGAACATGTTGACCACATTTGGATTACCCTTCTAACCTTGGGAGACCCTAAGCAAATGCACTGCAACAGTAACAGATAATATGAGAACAGGCAAAAGTTGCTCGCTCCGTTCTCAAAAGTGTAATGGCACAAGTGAGCAAAAACAAAGAGAATCTATACCATAAGACCCAATGAAATGACATGGAAGCCAATTTGGGGTCCCATATCTGGAGATAAGAATCACTAATATAGATATAGTGAAAGTGAGCCATGGTCCAAAATAAAAAAAATAGGTTATATGCTGCTAATGTAGATCTCTCCTAGGAAACTAAGCATTGACAGTGGAAACATCTTGCACGCTAAGGAGAATCTAATATCTCATCCGCTGACCTGATCTTCAGCCTTTCTGTTACTGTGCTTACAGAATATAAAGTAACGTTAATGGCAAAATCCGTGATTTCTCAGCGATCATGCAGGAGGCTGTCAGTAGAATAAAATATCACAAAAGGAAAGACGAACAGGAAATACCAATAGCAAGGATTGAACAGGGGCAGCAACAGTGGGCAAAAACGTTACATGGAGATTAGAAGAATTTCTATAATAAGATACTTTTTAATCAGTTTACTATGTATTCGGGTAATTTTCTATTATCACTCATTACGAGCTTGCTTAAAACATACGCAGGTTGCGTTGACATACATAAATCAACTACAAATTCACTAGGGAAGCCAAGTTTATAGACTTAATGGTTCCTGCACTTGAGATAATTTTCAAAGAGGCTGCCTGGGAATGTGATTTATGAACATATAGGATTAATTTCCATTTCTATTTGTCAAAGTCCTTTTCAATTGCAGTTTTAATTATGTAAATGTGAGAGTAGTTTCTTTTTTTACTATTTGGATAAGGAAATCATACATAGTGACTCTCTCCCCATTGTGTGTTCCAAGGGAACTCCAAGCAAGGTCTGCGTTGCAAGATGTGCAAGATTGGAGTCCATCTGTGGTGCTCAGAAGAGGTATCCCACCAGCAGTGTCTGGGGAAGATGGTAAGGGAGAAGCGTGATTGTTAGTCCATGTTAAGTACTTCTATGCCATGCCTCATGTTTCAACTATTTCCTCTTATTGAGAGTTTGCTATTCTTTCTTTCTTTTCTGTTTTCAGTCCACATCTTTTCGGCGTAATTTCAGCTCTCCTCTCTTGATTAATGAAGTTCAAACTAGCCCAAAGGAGACCCCTGTGATACCTGGTAAGATATAGATATATACTGGTTTGTGGTTACTAAGGACCACCTGTTATGATCCACTGTCAGAGTGATATTTTAAAATGTTGATGGTCATTGTAATTTTGTAATGGAGTTTAATTTATTGGAGCACATTATTATTACAGAATCGATCACAACAGTGCCCCATCTTTTTTTTTTTTTTTTTATTTAAATTTATATTTTATTAGAGTTATAAGCATGTATATCTCTGTGCCATTATATGCGAGGAATAAACAAATAGAGAGTATACGGTTCAATATGGTCCAGCAAACACACTAATGCCAGCAAGAGATGTAGAACATGGACAAGGGACAAATGAGAGGGACAAAGGATAAATGGAAGGCATCGGTCAAAAACAATAGCATTGGTCCTTAGGTTAGGTGTAGCGATTGACCACATAAGTCAGTAGAATTAGTTTATAGTCTGTCTATTAGCAATAGCTATGGAGTGTCCGAACTGTCCCTGACGGTAGGTACGTGTTGTTTAGTCGGGCTTCTCCGCTGGTGCGCTCTTCCTGAGGTTCTTTTCTCACGTGGTGTATCTGCCCCGGTTGCTCCCTCTAATGCGTTGGTGGCTGATAGGCCTAATTTATGATAGAGCGTCTCTGGGTCATCCGAGGATGTCAGGGTGAGTGTTTCCGCGCCTCGTGTGACGGCCAGGGAGCCTTCTGCGTTCCAGCGGTACTTGACTGAGCAGTCTCGCAACTTCTTAGCCACCAGTGCCAGCTGCCTCCTTTCTTCTAGGACAAGGAATGGGAGGTCACTGTAGATGGATAGGTTATGGCCCTCGAAATGCACTCGACCCATTGTTCTGGATTTATTCAGGATGGCGGACCGCACCGCAATGTCTTTGGTAGTTGCAATAATGTCTCTCGGTGTGTCCGCTGGCGCCGCTGCAGCTTTGCGCACCCGAAAAGCAGCTAGGATGCATGGGGTGTCTGTCGCCTTTTGAACTCCCATTGAGATAATCAGCTTTTGGACATATGACAGTATGTCTCCCCCCTCTACCTGTTCAGGTATGCCTCTCAGGCGTACATTTTGTCGCCGGTGCTGGGACTCCAGTGTGGTCACTATTTTGTGCAGTTGTTTGACCTGTGAGGCGAGACCCTCCACCCGTTGTGTAGTCGTCTTGAGTTGAGTATCCCGAGCTTGTTCTCTGACCTCAGCCGCTGATACTGTATGCTGCAGGGCCTTTATGTCAGCTTGCGTTTCTTGGAGGTCTGACTTCCACACTTCCCTTAGGTCCACTAATAACTTTTTAATGTCTCCTTTTGTGGATGGGGATGAATCTTCGTCTGAGTCAGCCTGCAGGTATACACCAGCTGGGTGAGGAGAGTTACTTGATTCCATCTCCCCAGGGGAGTCATCTGAGGCCCCTTGCTCACTATAATGGTCGGGTGCCAGTGCCACCCTTGCGGGTTCTGGCAGGGGTGTCCTCTCGAAGGATAGCCTTATGTCCTGTAGCGCTTGCCTTTCTATCTGCATCAGTCTCTTGTGTTTGCGCCCCATAGTTGCTGTGAGTTGTTAGGGGTGCCAGCAATTACCCTTGCCGGCGTGGGGGGGGGGGTGCGGTGGTCTCTGGTGGGGTCTACACTGGCCTTTAAGCCTTCAGGTACCTGAGCAGCGGGGCTGGCCACCTCCCGTCTGCGCACACGTGGTCGCGGTGTAAATGTTCACCGGGTGTCCCTCCAGCCTCTGGTGAGTGGCCTGGCTGTGGATGGGCTCGGTTCGAGCGGCATATACCCCAATTTGGGCACTTTTTTGCCGGAGTTCTGGTGAGTTGTGACCTCCCGGCTCGGCAGTTAGGCTCCGCCCCCCAACAGTGCCCCATCTTAATGCCGGATGTAACAACAGACCTCTGTAACATGTTCTGCCCCACCAGACACATTGATAGTCCACTACCGTAAAGGGGTGATGCTGTGGACTTGCAGATGTACATAATATGGATAATCTCCTAGCCCTAAATCTTGACACTGGAGTTCCCCCTAACACTGCAAAGTTCCCCCTAACACTGCAAAGTCTCTGCACTATTATTAATATAGCTCCATTTTGACATTAAAAGGAAATTCTAAGCACCAAAACAACTTTATCTTAAGTGGTTTTGGTATATAGTACATGCATTTGCAGTCCTACTGCTTAATTATTACCATTTAGAAGTGAAATCAATTTTTGTTTCTGTTTCTGCACACCTCTTCTGTCTGTGACCCTCACAACCTACACGGGAAAATGGTTTCATTTTAAATCCGATCTGACAAGCACAGTGTCTTTACTTTTTTAATCTAGTGCTCTGTTAATTGAACTTTTATAACACACAGGTGGCTCCTGCATGGTCTGACAGGCTATTAACAGAGCAGGAGATAAGACATTCTATATTAAACAGACCATGCAATAAAGGAAGTTTAACCCCTTAAGGACACATGACATGTGTGACATGTCATGATTCCCTTTTATTCCAGAAGTTTGGTCCTTACAGGGTTAAATATTAGATATTTCTTTACAGGAAGTGTTTAAGTCACATCCAGGAAAATTGTGACTAGGACTGCATAAACAGTGAATTAACTCTTAAATCTCAAGAGAATCGAGCAATTAGACTGCAGGGACATGATCTATACATCAAATACACTCCATTAGCTTAAAGTTGTTTTAATGCTTATAGTGTCCCTTTAAACATTGAGCCATTTTATGGAGTCCTTTTAAAAGGCATATCAACTGTAATTACTCATTCCAAGTGTTTACTGAAAGCTCTAATCCAGGGACATCCGCCGGACGTACGCTTAGGTGCCCAAGGCACAAAAATGTTTTGGGTTCCCAATAGTCACTGATATCCTGCTCACCCATACATTGCCCACTTTCAGTCTACTAAGAAGCCTGTAAGTAAAGCTCACCTCTACCTCTACATCTGTGCTCTTTTATCCATATTGTCACTCCAGCATGCCCTGGAATAAAATGGTAGGCATGGGGAATTTAAGATGCATGCATGCTGTTGCCCACTGTCTGAACATTTAAAACAAGAGAGACAAAGGATGGAGTTAACCACCAATAAAAAGGAAGGAACACAGTTCCCTGTAAATACTAGTGCTTTGTCATTAAATAAGAATTTGCCTTTTTGAATGTTAAAGAAACATTTTCAAATAAACACACAGCTGAACAGTATGTCCGTGTTAAAAGCCATTTTTAAAGGTAATTTTCTCTGTCTCACAGTAGCAGGTCCTAAAGGTAAGGTAGACCCTGTGTATGAGACTCTACGCTATGGAACATCACTAGCCCACTTGAACCGATCCAGTTGTAGCAGTGTGTCAGAGTCTCCCACCCGCAGTTTGGTGAGTAGGAGACTGCATCCGTGCATCATACATACCATATGCAAGACATACACTGTTACATGTATGTAAATTAATGGAAAAATTGGTGTTGTATATACTTTAAATAGATTGCTTCAGCTTTGGTTATGTAAGCATACATCTTGTGCCAATAGTGTTCTCTTTGTATGCAGAGTGAGAGGGAGGAGAGGAGTGAGGATCCTGAGGGCAGCATTCAAAGCAGTGAGGAGAGTCCGAGCCACCCAGGTGAGATGGACAATACGGCAGAATGATGTAATTTTTTAACAATAATCTATATAGGATTCATTTTAGGTCTGGCCATATACATTGGGTTGCATGAGTCCAAGAATAAAATGCTGCCCATGCCCAATGCACCAAAACTCTACTTCCTGAAGGCCACGCTCACATAAATCACTCCCTTCCCCTGACAATATATAAAGAAACTGTCTTCCATGAAATTTCATTGCCTCTGCTACCTCTACACAGTAGATATCTCTGTTACCTTCATCTCTTCCTAGTTTCCATCCCCATACTCTTTCTCCACAGATCTTAGCCACCATTTCAACACCTCACACTTGATAGATATATTTACCACAATCTCCATTACTGTTTCCTCACATCATCCCCCAGTAAATATTCAGTGAATAAATATCCTCCACCACTGCATTTTCCCTACGTTCTCTCAATGCCATGTCTTTGCCTCAAATTCTCCCCTGTGCCATATTCTCCCAATTCATCTCCACCAATACCCTATTCTCCAATTAATCTTCAATAATATTTTTCATTTGAGGGCTCTTTGCCCACTATGTTTTCCTTATCCATCCCATCTCCTTTTTATTTCTAAGCTCAAGTTTTCAGCCCTACCTCAATCCCAGCTTCCTCTATCGGCAAAGACTTTGTCTTAAAATGCTGTGAGGCTGATTTTTTATTTTTTATTTCTACAGTCTGTGTGTATGCATATTTCGTGTTTTTCTGTGGCTTTGAGGGTTGTCACAATATTGAGTACATTTTCAGGTTCATTTTGATCACTTCTTATGATCTGTCATGGTTCTACTTCTGTATTATGTGGCTGAGGATATGAATATGCTGCAAGATTCTTTGGTTAATCTGTGGAATTTGCCCAGAATTGCATTTGCATTTTTTTGGCATTATTAATATGTGTCTATAAATGTATTATGCTATTCCAAGACTGATTAATAAAAAAACTTGGACTTCTTATGATGCTCATGTGTTACAATAAGAACACATTTTTATGGCCCTGCAGAAACAGAAACATACATATTTGAGAACTAGTCTGTTATTGCTGATTTGATTCATTTACCCTTTCATCCACTCTGCTTTGCATGTGTGTGTGCCCTCCACATTCATCCACTCTGCTGCCACCTATTCATTAGCCTTATCCCCTAATTATAAATCCTACTCAACTTTTATCCCGCATACTAATAATCCATTGCCACAATGTCTGTTTCTCTCTATTTTCTGTCTCTTCATCTCTTTTTATTCTCCTTCCTGCCTTTCTCCACCTTCCTTCCACCAGTCCATCCCCACAACCCCATGATTCTTGTGTCTTTCCCTATGTCACTATTCCTGTAGCTGTTCAGAAGCCAGCGTCCCCATACCCCCTAACAGTTGCGTCCCTCTCCCTGCTTCTTCAAACCTTGGCTCTTTATCTTACAGATATTTCTCTTCATTCTCCATACCTTTGTTTCTTATCTTCACAATTCCTGAAACAATTTTTTTAACCAAATTTTCCAACACCTGGACTTGGTCTAATTTTCATGTTTTCCTTTCTCCATCTTTTGCAGTGTTCTTAGCTGAAAATGAGATTGCGATATGTGAAGATGCTCGCAGTGTGACGGTAAGATATAGGAATACTATACTATTCTTTAGGGTTCTGTGTAAGCTTCTGCCTACTCCGGTCTACTCTTATGTGTGTATTCCTATTGTCCTCAGAGCTTAGCATCTGTCAGCAGGATCCGGAAGGACATCTCACCCATGTACAGCTATGTGGCTCTCTATAAGTTTCTTCCCCAAGAGATCAACGACCTTCCACTTCAGTGAGTCTTTCCTATGTGCCATGATACAAATATAAGCAGTGCATTCTTATGACACGCCAACCTAACCAGTGTCCTGTACCTACGTACAAATCAAACCAGTGTCCTGTACCCATGTATAAATCTAACCAGTGGTCAGTATCCACATCTCACACCACCATCCTGCACCAAGTATTAATCTAAACCATGTCCTCTAATGATCTATCAATCTAACAAACACACTTTAAGATTCAGGGTAGACTGCTGTATAGGTAAATTAATGTACCAGTCTAAGAAGGATCCTGTTCTAAATCCTGTTAATACCAATCTAACCAGGACTCAGTACCTATACACTCAACTAAGAAGGCCATTTACCTATATGTCAATCTAACCAGGACTCAGTACATATATATCAATCTTACCTATGTGGCATACCTACGTTAATCTAACGTTATACAAATCTAGCCAAGGATCTGTACTTATATACACCAATCGAACCAGCACCTTGATCCACATAATCTCTATGGCATTCTGTACCTATATCCTAAAAGTACCAGCACCATGTACCTACGTATATGCCTAGCTTACCAAACTCCATCTATTTATGAATGACAATTTTGACTTCTACCCATCATTTCATTTTATCTAAAAATTCAACGTTTTGCTTCTATCTACATACAAATCTATTATTCTGTTTACTAAACTAAATTTGGGAGGAAGCCGAGGAAAAAAACCCCGGAATGTTTGAGGTTGAGGGATATAAGGAAAAAAAGATGAAGGCAGATGCTGTGGAAAAAATTGGTTGGTTAATCATGGGAAAGAAGAACAACAGGGAAATGAAAAAATAAAGATACATTTAAAAAAAGGTTTAAAAGTCATAAAAAAGTGTATTTGCACAGAACGGTATAGAATTGTATAGGACTTGTTTTGGCGGTGTTGAACAATGTGTTTAGCAGAAGGATGTGCATTAAGGTATTAGGTTGAAGAAGAAGTAAAAGTGACTCTTTCTTTACTTTTATCCCTCTGATCTCTAATCTTCCCTTGCTCGGGAGACAGATTGATTATCTCCACTGCGTTTCATGTATGAGAAGAGAGGAGCTCTTACCTCTGTTTCCCTTTCAGACACTGACCTGGTCTAATCTCCAAATTGTAGAAAACTGGTAAATCTCTTCTCCTCTTGGCATTGCTCAGAGTACTCTGAGATCTTGAAAGGACAATGTGTTGGGTTCCAAATGGAAATGTATTTGTACTTGCATGTACCTTATGTACTGCAGGACCGTAATTATCTTTCTCATAAGATGTTCAATGGGCACATGGCTCTGATAATGAAGAGCAGATACCAGCGAGGTGTCTAATAATCAGGGATAGCAAACAGGTTTGTCATTACACACAGATGTTTATTATAATTTATAGACACATTACTGTGGTATTGCTGTGGAGCTCTGTTAAACATTTAGACATACCAACAACATCGAGCTCTTGGAAAAGAGGGACATTAGGAAAGAAAAGAGGGACAGAGGGTTTAAAATAGGGACTTCCCCTCCTAAATAGGGACACTTGGAAGGTATGGTACATAATGTTGCAAGGGTTATTTCATTTTTAGAATTGAAAGCATGCTTTGGGGACTCCATAACAGTAGAGTGGTTTTTGGTTGGTATGATAAAAACTCCACAAGACAAAGACTACCGACACATTTTGTAGAAGGTTGGAATATGTCATCATGATGTACAATTTTGGAAATTAGGAGGTTATTTATTAAGATTTCATTGAGTGCTATAAAAAAATAAAAATAAAAATAAAAAAGGGAATGTTACATAGCTAGCGGATAAGGGGGAAGGAGACCTAACAGATTAATTTATTAAAAAACTCATGTACTCATTTAAATGTAAAGGTCATGTAGCTGTAATGAAATAAAAAAAAATAAAAAAAAATAAAAGCGTGCAAATTAAAATGATAGAGCTGAAAATCAATTTAAATGACAGTTAGTTATAGGAAACATGGATGGTGCTACTACACATGACCGGGTTGTTCATTTAACATGATATAGCAGTTTAGAAGAGATGTATCATACCAGTGGAAGGTCTTGATATTGCCTGTCTAATTATAGCTTTGCCTGCTAATGTTCGACTGCAACTCGTAATTCTTTGCAGTAAATACAAGGCCAATGTTTATTTAAGCATAGAAGAAATTTTGGGATTATTCTTGATTCAATTCTACTGCAAATAATTTTTTTTTTTTTTTTAAATTAAAAAAAAAAAAAGAATTTGAATCCTGACTGTATTTCATTTCTGAAGTTAGGGCTTTGTTACCTACAGCAGAAAGATAACTAAGAGGTGATCTTTGGTCAAAAGGCAATTCTTCTTGGTTCGTCAGGAGAGCTGCTAATTGTACATTTTTATTTAATGGAGAAGAACTGAGGATTTCTCACCTCTTGTCCCCCATCAGCTGAGCCTTAAGGCTTGGCCTGGTGTTCTCGCTGAATCCTAGATTAGTGTTCTATCACTGAACTTGGTGTCCTTAAGGAGGTGAGGAGCAGAATGTGACTGATGCTCTTGTACTTCTAGTCGGCCTCTGAAACAGTGCAGGATACGTGCAGTATACGTTGAATGAGATGATTAATTGCGTCTACATTGTTTCCATTTAACGTTTGTGGCTTTTAACGTAAACAAGTGGTTGAATAATTGATGTGCAGCTTATGCCACGTGTCTGCACACTTGAAACGAATGTTCCAGCTTTTATGTTTCTGCTGTAGACTTGAGCATATGGCTTCTTTGGAAATCTGTGGTTTAAGATTCGAAGAAGAAAAATGCAAGCGGAGACTTTCAGATCATTGAACAGATTTTAGCTGGGTTACAATAGATGGATGCAGAGGATTTAACTACTAATTACTGAAGAATTGCAGAAATAAGTAGTTCAGAGAGGTGGTGGTATATTTGGACAAGTCTCCATACCTATGAAAATATTAAATGCAAGGTCAACAATGTTGGGGCAAAGTCAAACGTTAGCATTCATAAGTGTTAAGATCACCAGAATTCACCCATGAATTGTTTAAATGTGTGAAAGAGATTGTAAAACGTTTTTTCCCCAACTTGTGAATTGTGAGATAATGGCCCAGTTCCTTTGTCACTTGCAAACAATTCACAACCGTAATACTAAAAGAGTAACATTGTAAAGGAGATCTGTATTTCTCTTATTGCACAAAAACCCAATATAATTATGATAAACATTAATTTGGAGAGTACCAAAGTACTCCAATGTGTTAACTTCGGTTGCGATTACACTCAAGTGCCAGTACTTGCTGGGTTCTGAACTTCCGTCGTCGGTATTGTGTGAGAGTTTTCAACATGATCACAATCCACAAATTAGAGCTTAAAACTATGACTAACTCTGTCATGATTAGTCACACAATCTCAAGGTTGCATAAACCAACCATGCATGAGTTCTAAGAAACAAATAGCGATTGTACAGGCTTTGCGATTACATCACGTGTTGAAGGTTATTGGCAATAATGATGACAACATTGATAATCTATGTGTGTTTCATTAAGATAGTGTATAGTGAAGGTGTATTTGTTGTGTCATCAAGTTCTCTAAATTGATTGTACAGAAATCGTTTGTATGTGTTTGGTGAACTTGCTTGTAAATGTCATCAATTCAAAATTTATGATAATTATTTTGCTTATGTGCTGAGTTGAGTGTTCGTCTTCTGGGTTTTAGATAAAATTAAAACGGTTTTCAGAAATTTATTATGTACGTTTTGTTGTTGCATAGGATATGGGTACAATGGTTCCATTAGAGTTTTACAAAATCTTCAGAATGACTGATTGCTCTGATCTTAACTTAATCAGAATGCAGTTGTTATGGTCTGCAGAGGTCTCAAACACTGGCTTACCGCAACAAATTGTTTAACCCCAAAGTCTTCAGTTCAGTGCCCATTAGCTCTGCCCCTGAATGCCCTTTCTTCATCCAAGGCTAAAGTTCAAACATGAACTTTCGGGCTGGGTGCTGCTGAAGGCTCAGAGCGTTTCTCACTTTAGTTAAGACATTTATCATAATATGATTGGGTTAGCAGCACCCAGGACACCTTGCACCACAACTTTATGTTAATTAAGTTGTTATGGTGCCAGTAGTATCCCTTTTAGCTTGAGTAGTTGACTAGTGTAAAGCATAGGTCATTTTTTTGAGAAACAATTACGGCAATCAAGTTGTTAAAAAAAAAATACCAGAATACATTGATGGGCCCACAAGCATTTAGTCTAGAGGAGAATAGATCAGGAAAAACGAGAAGATGCAGAGCCGTAGTAGAGTACTTATACTGTGATATAGGAACGCTATGCTGCCAAACCTTTAGTTGTAAAACAGACAAACTCTGTTCGTCAAAACTCTTCAAGGGGATTAATGATTTGAATACTTTACGACCTAGTGCTTGAAGAACCTACGACATCATGGAATCTTCTACAAATTTAGAATGTGACAGTTCTACATAGATTTTTTTTTTCTTCTTAAAAACAGTAACAAATTACATGTTGGAAAAAAGATACCAGATTGTTATGATGGTATAGACAGTTACTGGTCCTTAGCCATTAATCAGGCCTCTGCATAGCTCTCTTAGATCTCTTTTAAACTCCAGTGATCTGGAGAGCCATATTGATTAAATGTGACCGTTGATGCCTGTGGAATGACTCCTATGTGGTAAATTGATGCACGAAATGAAAAAATATCGACCAGTTTGGTCAAGTTTGAAATTCACAAATTCTGCTGGTTTCTTCCAATTTGGCTGTATTGACCTACATTTTATAGTTTAGTTGTCAGTTCAGTGCAACACCAATGAATGAATAAAACCCCAAATGATAGATGATATTGTTTTACAGTTTTATTTTGTCGATCATTCCAATAACTGTGATGGAGGTTTTAGATTGCCATCACTTGAATTAGCAAGAGAGATATATAACAAACACATTACACGTCTTTAAGTCAGGGTAGACCTTAAAGATATTTCATCTCAGCTCCATAAAGAACAATAAAAAACCTCATCTCGCTCATTAATATAGACAGGTGCACAAGAAGGGGGTAAATTGCTCTCTCTCGTAATTCCGCAAAATTCTTTCTGCAGTGTGCAGTACATTCTGTATGGATCATTCGGGGCTCTGCATTCATGCATAACAGACTTGGAATGTTCGGCATTCCAAACATTTCATGGGTACCAGTTATCTATAATGATCGCTGGCTGGCTGAAGATGTGGAGTTCTCATAAAACATTACAATCTAGAACCACTTAGAGCAATTAGAAAGTGAATAGGGGATTAGAGCTGCTTGCTGAGGTAGAAAAGGATAAATCACAGGAGAGCATACATCAAGATGAGAAATGTACGTAATGTGTTATAGAGTTTTTGATGACCCTATGGGATATATATGTATGAAGAATTATTCTGGGGCAAAGTTGTAAAAATCGAGCAATCCCTGTGGAAACCGACGGAATGTTCCCGCTGATTAATCAACAATTAGAACTTAATCCCAGATTTGCCCTTTATAAAGAACACGGCGGGAGTTGATGGATGTAGATTTTGTTTATTCTCCTCCTAATCCTGCAGTTTAGAGAAAATCAGAGAGGCACTAACCCGTAATCATAGCTTTGTGGATACAAAAACTAATCAGAGACACACGTAAAACAAACCATGCCTACTAATAGACTTAATGTCCTCCGTACTGCCTGCAAGCCTAAGTCCCTATGTTTCTATGTTTCTATGTTTCTATGTTTCTATGTCCCTTACGTCCTTTACCAACGCACACACTCAGGGCACAAAAATACTATCAACCATCTTTTTCAAACACCCACCTATTCCTTGTGGGAGAAAGGAACTCATTATTAAGAAATATAAGGAACACTCACAGAATGTGTTTATTAAGGCTGTTCGCAATGTACCTTGTTTCTTTACATGTTATGTTTTGGCATCGTCAATTACTTCTACACTGGATATTTCAGTTGCCACACATCTATATCATTATTTTTGATGAATGTACATTACACTGTGGCTTTCATAGATTTCAATAAAATTAAAAATACAGAACATAGGAAAAAAAAAAAAAAAAAACTAGTGTCATCTATTCATGGTTGCTCCACATGATATTATGACGATTACCAAGTACTGACAAACCAGTATGACTGGCAACATGGTTAACAAGAGCAAGAATATATCTCTAATGCTTCTTTCATTCTTCTCCATCTCGTTTCTGTCTCTTACTCTACTCTACTCTTCCTCTTCTCACCCTCCTTTCTTCCGGCTTCCCTCCCTCTCACCCCCACAGGCCTGGTGACAGAGTTATGGTGATGGATGATTCTAATGAGGATTGGTGGAAGGTAAGAAATCAGACTTTACAATCCCAGTGTATAAGGCTGCCAGGTGAAGGCTGAAGATGAAGACAGAAGAGGGGGAAGGGATTATTTACTGCCAAGGAGGGGGGAGAAGCAGGAAGAGAAGGAAAGAAGAAAACTAGATTTTATTGACATCGCTTTAGTTTTACAGGCACGCTACTGTTCCCTCGTGCCCTTATACCTGTTTGTCCTTTTTTTATCCTTTATAAATGCCGCCTACATTGCTGGAGAGTGGGAGACTACATAAAGAATAGAAACAGTGTGGAAATGATGGGGATGTTCTACAATAAAAAGAAAATGATGGTGGGAGGGAGAAGATGGTTTTTCTTTTTTATCTCTGTATTTGCGTTGGGATATAATTATGAACTGATCTTACGTTATCACTGACCCTTCCACCCCCCCACCATCCTTCTCCTTGCCAACCCATCCATGCACATGGCATTGTTGCTGATTATCATGGCGTGACCTCAGATCTACCCACACACAGGAGGGCACAAGCAGGCACAGAGGGAGGTCATAGAAAGATGAGATGTTATTGTTAACAAGTGGAATGGGAATATAATGAGATCTGAGGGGGAGACAAATGCATTTTAGGGGGTGGTGGAGTTCATAGAAACCAGAAGGAACGCGATAGAGATACATTGTGAAGAAAGTTCTGAATGTAGGGAAGAAATTTCTATTCTGTAGCAAATCCACATTTAGCAGAAATGAGTTAAAGATGGTCCTGCTCATATCTGAATCTTAATACAGATCAGTAAATCAAAGTTAGCATGAACATGCAGACGGAAAAAGACTAATCGTGATGGAAGGAGGGATGTGCCATTATGAAGAATTAAACTGTCTTCCCTGCCACCCATTTAGATATCTGTCAGAACTGGTTAATGGACGTATTGATCTGCTTTTGCCTATTACGCAGTGCCATCATTACAAATTTTAAAGGAAGCAGGCAATCTGTATTTACAGTAGAGATGGGGAAATAAAACAAAGAGTATGAAGAAGAGAGGTCTCATGGAGAACAGGGCAACATAAGTGGGGCAAAGGGAGGGGAGTTCTAAACTTAACTGGCAAATATAGGATGGGAAGGGGAAGACCCACTAAGATCTCCTTAATCTGTTATGGTTGATTTGGTTTAGATAAATATTTATGTTCAGTTATTTTTTTGTATTTTGTTTTTTATATTTTTAGTGGAAATATGGGTTTTGAATTTATGCATATTTAATAAATGTTTTATTTTGTAAAAATGTTTTAAGGTAAATAAATATTCAGGATGCACGTGTTAATTAAATGTGCTATTATTGCAATAGACAACAGGATTGGAAATATACAATGGAGAAAAAAACATCCACCCACTAAAAAAATTAAAAAAAACAAAAAACTTTCAAGCTCACAGTGCAAATAAAAATAAAAAACAACAACAATAGATCAAAAATAAAATATAACAATGTTCTATTTAAGATAGAGGGCCAATGTGTAAAATATAATTTGTACTAAAAAAACTGCAATTAGTAACTGGCCACAATTTAACCTGTAGCAAGGATGAGAGTGCTGAATATGTCTTGAGACGACCCTCTCAACCCCTTTCTCTTATTTCTTTTTTACCTCTTCAACACAGGGAAAATGTGGAGATCGAACTGGGTTCTTCCCTGCAAACTTTGTGCAGAGAGTGCGACTCGGAGAAAGTGTGTGGAGGAGCACAAAGACCTTTCAAGGAGTCAAGGAGCAGGGTCAGCTATGTCTCAAAGAGGGGCAGGTAGGCGACACACTGCGGAATCCACAATGCCATAGATCTATCTTGCATGAGTCTAATTTTGACCATGCGGGAGGCCAGAGTTTGAGGTGCCTGTCCTAGTTCCTTGTTTCAATATACACAGTGAAGCATTTACTGGGGTAAGATGGACAGCATAGGATAAATATGAAACACATTTACCTCCTCATCACTTTTGATGCAGACATTATCCCATGATGCGCCAGACACACTCATTTACAGGGTTTCTGCTTTAAAAGTGCCCTTACAGTGATTGAGCGCTTGACACTATGGCGGTAAATGTAATCTGCATATTATGCCAAGGCTGTGCCTTAAGTACTAACTTACAGTGTGAAAAAAACCAAACAGTTAGCTATTGGATAGTGCAAAAAGCCACATTTGATAGTTCCCCAATACAGTTCTCTAGACTATAAGCCAGGGGTTCTCAAACTGTGGCCCTCCAGCTGTTGCTGAACTACAACTCCCATGATTCTTTGAATTACATAGATAGCCAGATAATCATGGGAGTTGTAGTTCAGCAACATCTGGAGGGCCGGAGTTTGAGGACCCCTGCTATGAGCTCATTTGAGCAGGCTCCTCATAAACCTATTGTTCCTGTAACATTTTGTAATTGTCTTATTTATTGTTAAATTTCCCCCCTTTTATAATATTGCAAAACACTGTGGAATAAGTTGGATCTATATGAATGCCCAAAATAATATTAATAAAGTTAAATCAAGTCAATCTAAAGTTATTTTGTCCTTAAAGATGCACACGAAGCACCATAACCACTACAGCTACAGCTCATTTTGCAGGTGAATCTTTATGTAATCCTTTTACATAAAACTGCGCGCATACCATTTCACACAAAAAAAACTGTGCTCTCTCAGGTGCCCCTCTGTAGCTGCTCAACTAATGAAAAATATTCATCACCCATACAAAGTTGCCTATGATGACATCATTATCGGAATAACTGCACATTGGTCGAGATTTGGATGCTAAGTTACAGTGGTTATGGTGCTATGATTGCCCCCATTTTTATTCTCACTCCCACCTATTTACATTGAGATTGACATCTAATTCCCCCCCCCCTCCCCTCCCACCAAGGATAAAACAACCTCTGGCTCTCCATTCGTACAATACTTATTCATTGCTATCTAGGTTGGCTGAGCATTATGAGAGTTAGATTTTGCTGGCACTCAGTGCTATACGTTACCTTTGATTTTCTTTAATAGATATCAGTAGATAGCTACTGGTCTTTTAATATCTGCATGCATCTGCCCCCTCATTTAATTCCCCTCCAAAGATCTGCATTTTTCTCTCTCTCACCCTCCCCAACCAGATCTGTGTCTCCTGTCTTATTCATGTCTTTCTCCTCAGATCTGCGTGGGTGTTGGAAAGTCAGAGTCTGATGGCTATATTAGAGTGGCCAGTGGAAAGAAGAAAGGCTTGGTACCCCAAGACTACTTGACAGAGATCTGACTCTCTCTTGACAGAGAGTGACCCCCTCTCCTGGAAAAAGAGACACTAAGCCCTCTGAGGTTAACTGGGCTCAGAGATTCAAAGAACCATATGTGAAAAGCAATAAGGCACTCGGGCTTTACAGACAGAACAAGAGGTGGTAACATTTGGAAAACCCAACTTGTTCCTGGGTGCCTTGTAACCTAGGCAACGTCAACATATTGGAACGCCTTTAAATGCTGCACAAAGCCTCCTCTTCCTTGTATATACCTTTACGAATATATAATAACATGTATTTTGCAATATGTCCACCAGGTGTCTGTGACAACATCACTCAGGGCCAACTCTTCAGGGAAAGCCGCTCAGTGACCTCATACCAGGGCTGCTATGTCACCAGCACCAGCCCTTGATTAACCCTATCCTATAAAACAATAATGCTCATTTAGTGTTACAGAACTTAAACCTCCATCTTAGGAGTTGGGTTACCGTCACAGTCACCAGCCATTACATCACATTGTTTGCCATGCACAAATAATATGGCTATTATAATATATATCGATATATCTTAAGGTTAAGGCCAATCAGATATGCAGAGCACAGTGTACAGGGCTGCATTAAAATGCAAGTCATTATGGGTGATTACTCATGTATAAGTATTATTACGTGTAAATCTGATTACCTTAAAAAGTGGGTAGTGGACATTGAAACGGCCGGGGAGGGTGATAAAAAAAACCCCAAAAAAACTGACGGAGTATTATAAAATAACTCAAATTAAATGCGTCGGTATAAAAACTAACACTTTCTCCAGTGCAGCCATTTTGATTCATTTGGCTATTACTGTAATCATTCTGTTGTGTATAGATAGTTTTATTAGAGAATGGGAGGAAACCATGCGATAGATTGGAAAGGGAATATACAGACTGGATCATCAACTAAAGTGAGGATTGCCAGAATTTTAAGAAAGTTCGAGTAAAATAGCAAATTAAAGGGTTACTCCAGGCGCAATAACCACTTCAGTGATTTGAAGTGGTTATGGTGACCGGAGTCTGTATGTGCAGCTTTTTTCGATATGAAACATTGCACATAGTGGAGTTTTACCCCTGTGGTCCTGTAGGTGTAACTCCAACTCCAGCAGTGCCATTGGGGTATCATTAGCCAGCCCAAAACAAGAGTTCTAATGCCAATTCTGTGTATATTAACATACATAGAATTGCGTTCTTTGAATGAATTGGCCGTCAGGATAGACTTCCAGCTTCTGCAGAAGCATGGTGTCATGAACGGCTAGAGAGGAGTCCAGCGGTGACCCATTGCAAAACTGTATTCACCTTTATCAAGAAACAGAGCCAGGGTACTCCTGGCACCATAACCACTACAGCGTGCTTGGCGTAACCCTTTAACAATACATGTTATACAATACATGTAAAATAGTGAGGGTAATATACCAGCAGTGTGAGAGTAGGGTCGGTAATAAACTAAAATGCAATTAAATAGAATTTCATTGCAGAGTGAGAGAAGAGGGTGGAACGATTCTGAATTTACCAATAATGACATTTCCTCACTTCGATCTTGCATCTTAATTTACCTTGTTGCCTGACTCACCATAATACATATCTCACTATAGATATAGATATATATATACACACACACGTACTTAAAAATAATCTGTGTATATGTCCACCCCCACATTTCAGCAAGCACACCATTCTAGATGACACATAAAAAGGATTAATCATTGCTCAACCATACCATGCAGAGCCGTATACTGTAAGATTTTGGCAGTGAAGTCAGTTACACCATTTCATTTTTAACCAATTAAGTGCATGTCTTGTCTTCCTCTCCCGCCAACTTTCTCTCCCAAAATAAGCTATCTCTACTGTTATCATTTCTTCGCCATATTCTTGTTTCTTCCCTCTTTTTTTTACGTGTCCCACTACTACATTTTTTCTCATGCTGATACTTCTCCTGGCAATGCCAGTCTCTCCTTAAATTTCCGTACTTGCTGATCTCCCTCTGCCACTTTTCCGCTCTCCTTTTTCTCCCCTCCTTGCTCTCTCTCAATCCGCTCTGCTGCTCATATTCATTCCGCTCCATTTCTCAGTCTTGTCCTCAGGGCCCGTTCTGCTTTTTAATGGTATGTTTTATTCTGCCCGCACTGCACTGTTTAGCAGCACCAAGTATATTTACCCCTTCTCCAGTCTTCCTTCGTAGCTGTACTCCTGAGTATCACTGCCGACCACTCCTTCCAGAGGAACAGACAGCAGTGAGAAGTTATCTGTGCGGTGGAGACTTTGCGTAGACTCGTTATTACTGTAACCTAATGCATGGGATTGAAATTATGTTTCCTAAAGAGCAATAACTATCTCAGTATGGGCAATAATCTGTTCAATAACCTTACTAGTCACCTTGGACGCTGTAACAATAAAGTGTTAATGCCCCATACTTGGTTTTCCAGTGGTGCTTTCTTTCAATTGAGTTTGAAAAGATTGGTGAAACTCGATTATGGAGTAAGTGTATTCATAGAGATAACCCAAAGGAGTTTACAATGTCTGTGTCATAGTTAGAAAAACTATATTCAGGTAGAGCAGTATTATGGGGTGCATAGTGTGGGAGTAATGTTCAGGTAGAACAGGGTTATGGCGCGCACAGTGTGGGAGTAATGTTCAGATAGAGCAGTGTTATGTTGTGCACAGGGTGGTAGTAGTGTTAAGGTAGAGTAGTGTTATGGGGTGCACAGTGTGGGAGAAGTGTTCATGTAGTGTTCTGGAATGCACAGGGTGGAAGTAATGTTACAATAGAGCAGTGTTATGGGGTGCACAGTGTGGGAGTAATGTTAAGGTAGAGCAGTGTTATGGGGTACACAATATGGGAGTAATGTTCAGGTAGAGCAGTGTTATGGGGTGCACAGGGTAAAAGACAAGTTAGTATAGAACAGAGTTATGGGGTGCCCAGTGTGGGAGTAGTATTCAGGAAGATCAGTATTGTGGGGTGCATAATGTGGAAGTAATGTTCAGGTAGAGCAGAGTTATAGGTTACACAGTGTGGCAGCAGTGTTCAAGTATAGCAGTGTTAAAGGACCACTATAGTGCCAGGAAAACATACTCGTTTTCTTGGCACTATAGTGCCCTGAGGGTGCCCCCACCCTCAGGGTCCCCCTCCCGCCTGGCTCTGGAAAGGGGTAAAAACTTACCTTTTTCCAGCGCTGGGCGGGGAGCTCTCCTCCTCCGTTCCTCCTCCTGGGCTGAATGCGCACGAGCGGCAAGAGCTGCGCGCGCATTCAGCCGGTCGCATAGGAAAGCATTTACAATGCTTTCCTATGGACGCTGGCGTGCTCTCACAGTGAAAATCACAGTGAGAAGCACGCAAGCGCCTCTAGTGGCTGTCAATGAGACAGCCACTAGAGGCTTTGGGGGAAGGCTTAACCCATTAATAAACATAGCAGTTTCTCTGAAACTGCTATGTTTATTAAAAAATGGGTTAAGCCTAGCTGGACCTGGCACCCAGACCACTTCATTAAGCTGAAGTGGTCTGGGTGCCTAGAGTGGTCCTTTAAAGGGGGCTATTGTGTGAGTAATGTTCAGGTAGAGCAGTGTTATGGGGTGCACTGGGTGAAAGAGAAGTTAGAATAGAGTAGAGTTATGGGGTGCACAGTGTGGGAGTAGGTTTAAGGTAGAGCAGTGTTATGCACAGGGTGGAGGAAGTGTTCAGGAAGAACAAAGTTATGGGGTGCACAGGGTGGTGGAAGTGTTCAGGAAGAGCAGAGTTATGGGGTGCACAGTGTGGGGGGTAATGATCAGACAGGGCAGTGTTATGGAGTGCACAGTGTGGGACTAATGTTCAAGTAGATCAGTGTTAGGGGGTGTTCTGTGTGGGAGTAATGCTCAGGTAGAGCAGTGTTATGGAGTGGACAGTGTGGGAGAAGTGTTCAGGTAGAACAGTGTTATGGGGTGCATAGTGTGGGAGAAGTGTTAGGGTAGAACAGTGTTATGGGGTGCACAGTGTGGGAGTAGTGTTCAGGTAGAACAGTGTTATGAGGTGCACAGTGTGGGAGTAATGTTCAGGTAGGGAAATGTTATGGGGTGCACAGTGTGGGAGTAGGTTTAAAGTAGAGCAGTATTATGGGGTGCACATGTTGGTAGTAGTGTTAAGGTAGATCAGAAAAACGGGGTGCAGTGTTGGAGTAGTACTCAGGTAAAGCAGTATTGTGGGGTGCATAGTGTGGGATAAATGTTCAGGTAGAGCAGAGTTATGGGGTGCACAGTGTGGGAGAAATGTTCAGGTAGAGCAATGTTATGGGGTGCACAGTGTGGGAGAAATGTTCATGTAGAGCAATGTTATGGGGTGCACAGTGTGGGAGTTGTGTTCATGTAGAGCAGTATTATGGGGTGTATAGTGTCAGAGCAATGTTCAGGTAGTGCAGTGTTATGGGGTGCACAGTGTGATAGAGCAGTGTTATGGGGTGCACAGTGTGGGAGTAATATTCAGGTAGAGCAGTATTGTGGGGTGCACAGTGTGGGAGTAATGTTCAGGTAGAGCAGAGTTATGGGGTGCACAGTGTGGGAGTAGTGTTCAGGTAGAACGGTGTTATGGGGTGTAATGGAGTGTAATGTTACAACAGAGGAGAGTTATTGGGGTGCACAGTGTGGGAGAAGTGTTAATGTAGAGCAGTGTTAGGGGGTGTTCTGTGTGGGAGTAATGCTCAGGTAGAGCAGTGTTATTGAGTGGACAGTGTGGGAGCAGTGTTCAGGTAGAACAGTGTTATAGGGTGCATAGTGTGGGAGTAGTGTTAGGGTAGAGCAGTGTTATGGGGTACACAGTGTGGCAGTAGCATTCAGGTAAAATGGTGTAATAGGGTACATATTGTGTGAGTAATGTTCAGGTAGAGCTGTGTTATGAGGTGCACAGTGTGAGAGTAGGATTAAAGTAGATCAGTGTTATGGGGTGCACCGTGTGGCAGTAGTATTCAGGTAGAGCAGTGTTATGGGGTGCACAGGGTGGTAGTATTGTTAAGGTAGAACAGAGTTATGGGGTGTACAGGGTGGTAGAAGTGTTAAGGTAGAGCAGAGTTATGGGGTGCACAGTATGGGAGTATGGTTTAGATAGAGCAGTGCTATGGGGAGCACAGTGTGGCAGTAGTGTTCAGGTAGAGCACTATTATGAGGTGCATAGTGTCGGAGTAATGTTCAGGTAGAGCAGTGTTATGGGGTGCACAGTGTGGGAGTAATGTTTAGTTAGAGCAGTATTATGGGGTGCACAGTGTGAGAGTAGGTTTAAGGTAGAGCAGAGTTATGGGGTGCACAGTATGGGAGTAATGTTTAGATAGAGCAGTGTTATGGGGAGCACAGTGTGGCAGTAGTGTTCAGGTAGAGCACTATTATGAGGTGCATAGTGTCGGAGTAATGTTCAGGTAGAGCAGTGTTATGGGGTGCACAGTGTGGGAGTAATGTTTAGTTAGAGCAGTATTATGGGGTGCACAGTGTGAGAGTAGGTTTAAGGTAGAGCAGCGTTATGGGGTGCACAGTATGGGAGTAATGTTTAGATAGAGCAGTGTTATGGAAAGCGCAGGGTGGTAGTAGTGTTCAGGTAGAGCAGAGTTATGGGGTGCACAGTGTGGGAGTGATATTCAGATAGAGCAGTATTGTGGGGTGCACAGTATAGGAGTAATGTTCAGGTAGAGCAGAGTTATTGGGGTGCACAGTGTGGGAGTAATTTTTAGGTTGAACAGTATTATGGGGTGCACAGTGTGGGAATAATGTTCAGATAGAGCAGTGTTATGGGTGCACAGTATGGGAGTAGTGTTTAGATAGAGCATTGTCATGGGGTGCACAGTGTGGGAGTAATATTCAGGTAGAGCAGTGTGGTAGTAGTGTTCAGGTAGAGCAATGTTATGGGGTGCACAGTATGGGAGTAATGTTCAGATAGAGCAGTGTTATGGGGTGCACAATGTGGGAGTAATGTTCGGATAGAGCAGTGTTATGTGGTGCACAGTGAGGGAGTAATATTCAGATACAGCTGTATTGTGCGGTGCACAGTGCGGGAGTAATGTTCAGGTAGAGCAGTATTGTGGGGTGCACAGTGTGGCAGTAATGTTCAGGTAGAGCAGTATTATGGGTAGCACAGTGTGGGAGTAGTGTTCGGGTAGAGCAATGTTATGGGGTGCACAGTGTGGGAGTAATGTTCAGGTAAATCAGTGTCACAGCGTGCACAGTGTGGGAGTAATGTTCAGATAGAACAGTGTTATGTGGTGCACAGTGAGGGAGTAATATTCAGGTAGAGCAGTATT